GTCGGCCCACTGCAAAGGGATGGGCGGGTTCCGGTTGGGCCCCAGGGCGAGTGACCAGGGGCAGGAGCCCTCCTCCAACGGCTGGACAGCGGGCAACGGAATCCCAAAAGCAGCTGTTGTCTCGAGAGCATTCCAGCTGCGCTTGGATTTCGTTCCCTGCTCTCCTGCCTGAGCAGCGCCCTGGCCCACATGAGGTGGTCTCTACCCTCAGGACAGCTGGGCGTTCCAACCTCCGTGTCTCAGGTGCACCCTCAGGCTGATGGTGGCAGGCAGAGACGACGAAAGAGTCGGGCTGGTGGCCCCCTGGGATCCCGGAGAACACTGACGAGGGAGGTCCCGGTCCTCTGTGCAGGGCCGCCATGGCGGTGAGTCCCGCAGGGCCGCCCAGCCCGCCGCTCGCTAAAGATAGCGCTTCACTTCCTGGGGAAAAACCACCCAACCGTCTTGCCGGAGGGAGAGAGTAACCCACATCGCCAACTCGCCGGTGGGTCCCAGCCCGGCGAGCAGCCATGCCCACAGCATGGAAAGTGCTTTGGAATGACACGATCACTCCCGTTGAGTGGGCACCCAAGAAGCCATCGGGAATGTCGTGTCCGCCCAGTGCTCTTTCTGCACCTCCCGAGCAGAGCAGGGCCTCAGAGAGGAGCCTGGCCAGACCTTCTTATTCCTAGATTTCACTCTTCTCCGGAGCAAAGTCCACTAGGTGGATTCATTCATTCCTGTGGGAAATGGAGACTTACGTTAAATTGAAATGAAAGCGTTTGGACAGAGGAAGGCTTTCCAAGCAGCGTGCTCCACCTGAGATCTCTGATTGGTTGGGTCTTCTCATGATCACATGTAATTGTCTCAAGCTGGCCAGTTATCTAAAGAACAATCAAAGGTGCCGGCAACACCAGGATTGGAAATTATGATGACTAATTCCTCAGGTATCAAGAGGTGCAATTCTATCAGATTGATTGGACTTTTATTGCAAATAAAGACATCACATAGCGCAATCAAGGAGAGGTGTGCAAATGATGGGAAAGAACTCAAGGGTTTTTGTTTTGTTTTTTTTAAGTGGGCAGTAAAGTGTCTTTAGTGAAAGATGGGCGTGGTGGCCAAGGCTTAATCCCCGCACTCAGAGGCAGAGGCTGCGATCTCTGAGCAACTCCCCAGTCTGGCCTACTGGGCCAAGCTAGTTCCGGGACAACCAAGGCTGTTACACAGAGAAACCCTGTCTTAAAAAACCAAATAAAACCAGTGTTTTTAATGATACAGCCTTATTCCATTGCCAATTTGTCTGTCGTTTTAATCTTGTTTAAATGGGGCAAAAAATTGAAACATCAAATAAGCACAAAGATGTGAAACTTTGATGACAAAGTGTCTAGCCTGGTGACAAAGACCCAGTACCAAATTAATAATTCAGGGTGACGATGAAAAAAAAACCCTTGGCGCAAAAATGAGCCCTAGATTTTGGGTCTAGGGCTGACGAATGCAGGAAAGACTGTCGGGAGGGAACCCTCGGCGTGCTCCAGCGCTTGGTCCACTCCGGAGGGTCCGCAGCCGGATCTCCGCCCCTGCCAGGCCAGGCGGACCTCCCGGAAGCTCTACGGTTAATTTACTTCCTGTTCCTCTCACTCTTCCGGTCGTCATGGCGACAGGGCGCCTTGGCGTGGGGGAGACGCTGGAGGCCCTTAACGCCGCGGTGGGTCCTGGCAGCCCCGTGTGGTTCAAGGAAACGAACGCCCGGCACCTGCGTGTCCGAGACTTCTTGGCGCCGCGGAGCGCGCTACAGGCGCGCTTCAGGGACGGGCAGGTGGGTGCCGGCTGGGCTGGGG